ACATGAGAGAGAGAGTAGACAATTAGACACAGCGAGATGGACACCACAGAGAGAGAGAGACACAGAGGGTGAGTAGAGGACACAGAGAGAGGAGGGACGAGCGCAAAGAGACAGCGCGCGACAAGTAACAGAGACTGAGTCGAGACACACAGACAGAGAGAGAGAGTCGTACATGAGTTTAGAGAGAGAACACGATTGAGAGGAGGACATCGAGGACCCACACCAGAGAGATGAGAGACAGAGATCACAGATTGAGAGAGAGGTTTTTTGACAGAGGAGAGAGAGAGAGACAATACAGATGAGAGCAAGAGACCGAGCACACAGCCCCCCGAGAGAGAGACCGACACACCAGAGGAGAGACACACAGAGCCGAAGCGAGACAGTATCTGTACACAGATGAGAGTGAGAGAGATTGATCAAAGAGAGAGAGAGAGAGACACCGGGTTCACTCAGAGAGAGATTGAGTATGACGTTAGAGGCTAGTATGATTTGTCAGAGCCCAGACCTTTTTCACCCGACTCTACAAGAGGAGTAGAGTTGATGACAGAGACACAGAGAGAGAGAGAGACACAGAGAGAGAGAGAGACACAGAGACCCGCAGAGCGAGAGACAGCTCAGACACACAGTCTTATTCTTTCGGGAGAGAGAGAGTCTTATGACGGACACGAGGCCACAGATCCGATGAGCATGATGAGATACTGCAGGATCACAAGTTTAGAGATTTGTAGTAGACGACACAGAGAGAGAGACATGAGACAACTAGAGAGAGAGATGAGAGATGAGCGAGAGAGGAGAGAGATTTTTGGAGCGAGAGAGTAGTAGAGAGACGAGAGGACAGAGTATGACACCCAGCAGACACGATGTACACGAGACACAGAATGTATTTTCTACAGATCGATGAGATGTATGAGAGACACACAGGACACAGATTGAGCTAGAGCACCGAATCACAACACCCGACACAGAGAGAGATGTAGAGACACATCTAGATTTCTATTCTTTATCACACGACCCTTTTCTTTTTTGTTCTTGATTTTTTGATGCCCAGCAGACCTCACTACTACCTTAAGTTAACTAACTAGTTAGATGAGAGCAAGAGTACACACATTGTATATCCAAGAGAGAGTTAGAGATGACTCACACAGGACCCCAGCAGAGAGAGAGACGGTGACACACAGACACAGAGAGACTGAGAGGACAGAGAAACAGAGTAGAGAGAGGACAGAGAACTTCGCGAGAGAGTACAAGTAAATGAGAGTAGAGAGAGACAGAGAGAGAGAGGGACAGAGAGAGCAGAGACAGCGCCATGGACTTTAGAGATGAGAGAGACACAGATGAGATTGACAGACAGAGACAGAGGAGAGAGATGAGACAGAGAGAAGATGAGCCAGATGAGAGAGGATTGAGTAACTAGAGACATAGAGAGAGAGAGAGACAGAGAGGAGAGAGTAGACAGATGAGGAGAGACAGGACACCAGAGAGAGGAGAGAGTAACTAAACACACGCCCAGGAGAGAGAGAGAGCACGAGAGTATGCCATGAGAGATGAGAGAGAGTTAGATCATTCAGACACAGGAGAGGACGCGAACTAAATAATACAGAGTTGTTCCTTTGATGAGAGAGAGTAGAGACATCAGAGAGAGAGTTAGACGGGAAACAGGAGCCGAGAAATGAAACTAGCCGATACAGAGAGCAAGAGAGAGAAAGAAAGATAAATAAATAGAGAGAGAGAACGAGAAAGACAGAAAGAAAGAGAGAAAGAAATAGATAGATACAGAGAGAGATTCTACAGACTATGCAGATATATCGATCTATCAGCAGCGTAGCGAGAGCCTGATCAGGCATCAGATTTGACCTGTGTAAAAACATGCTCCTGTAGTGCGGTTGTTCAATCAGCCAGCCCCCACCGCTGTAGGCTTACTTAGCATCGATATCGGAGAAGTGCTGGACACAATTAGCGATCCGAATATCCCGGCAGAGAGGGTGCTGGGGGTGGGCACGGCGCCTAGCTCACCGGGAGGAACCAGCTGGCATGCCGCCAGGTACTTCTTGTCCGACAGGATGCTGGCGTAGAAACGGATCGTGAAGCTGATGTCCTCACGCAGACGCTTGTCCCCCTGGGTAGGGAACTTAGGAGGGGTGCTAGAGGGGGGAGGGGAAGTGGGGGAGATAGAGGGAGAGGAGGGAGAGAGAGAGGATCAAATGATTTAAAAAGATGCCGATTTAGAGAGGGAAAGTTATCTCCCATGTTAGTAGTGAGTCGGAAGTACTGAAGGACTGTGGAGTAGAACTTCTCTTACAGTGTGTGTGTGTGTGTACCTGAAGTAGTCAAAGGCGGTGGAGTAGATCTTCTCTCTGAGGACATTTCTGATGGTGACGTTGGTGACTACGTCAGAATGGAGCAGAGCTAGACCCAGAGTAAGCAGCCTACAAACCCACACACCACACAATGATTGGTTAATTTGCTCTGGATCAGAAACTGGATCTAGTGTGTGTGTGTGTGTGTTTGTGTGTGGACCTGAAGCGGGGTCCGATGGCGGCTACGTGGCGGTTAAGGCTGCTCTTGGCTCCGCCCACGTTGAGGGAGAGCGAGCGTTGTAATAGGCTGCCGAATATCTCCACCTGGTCTTCACTGGAATACTTAGCTATTTCAAACCTCTGAACCAAGAACTGGAGAGAGAGAGGTAGAGAGATAGAGAGAGGTAGAGGTAGATAGAGGTAGAGGGAAATCACACATAAGGCTGTTTATGCAGTGAAGTCCTCTTACTCTAGTATTTTAACCAAAACAAAATGAACTAATGCAGCCAGAGACAAGACACACACACACCTCTATCCAAATGCAGTGAGGTGTGACGGCGGGGGGACAGGGGACAGGCTGACTCTCCTCCGAGGCTGCTAGGGGATCAGCCTCCACCTGAGCATCAGAGAACAAGCCCATCTTCAGCTCCACTGTCATCTGCCACGCTCCCGCCATCTCACGCATGAACTACAGAGAGAGAGTGGGGAGGGGAGAGAGAGAGAGAGAGAGAGAGAGAGAGGGGAGGGGAGGGGAGGGGAGGGGAGGGGAGGGGAGGGGAGGGAGAGAGAGAGAGAGAGAGAGAGATGCCCATGTCAGTGTGGGTTTGAATGCCAGTCCCACGCAAATACACAATGGTACTTGAACTCCAACAATAGATGTCTCCAAGATGCTTACCGGGACCTCTACTCCAGTGCGAGCAGCCAGCAGCCACTCCCAGCAAGCAATAGCCGTCTCCATGCCGTGTTCTGTAAACATCTTCAGAGGAGACCAACACAGGTGGTGCAGCAGCTGAGGATCACATTCTACACACACAGAGAGAGAACACAAGGAAGACTTCAGCATAACAGGTGACAGAGAGCTACAACACAGGGAAGACTTCAGTATAACAGGTGACAGAGCTACAACACAGGGAAGACTTCAGTATAACAGGTGACAGAGCTACAACACAGGGAAGACTTCAGTAGAACAGGTGACAGAGAGCTACAACACAGGGAAGACTTCAGTATAACAGGTGACAGAGAGCTACAACACAGGGAAGACTTCAGTATAACAGGTGACAGAGAGCTACAACACAGGGAAGACTTCAGTATAACAGGTGACAGAGAGCTACAACACAGGGAAGACTTCAGTAGAACAGGTGACAGAGAGCTACAACACAGGGAAGACTTCAGTATAACAGGTGACAGAGAGCTACAACACAGGGAAGACTTCAGTATAACAGGTGACAGAGAGCTACAACACAGGGAAGACTTCAGTAGAACAGGTGACAGAGAGCTACAACACAGGGAAGACTTCAGTAGAACAGGTGACAGGGGACTTTGGCTGAATTTGCCATCCTTGGACAAAGGAATATATACAGTGTCTATCATAAATATTCAACCCCTTGGATTTCTTCACATTTTATTGTGTTACAAAGTGGGATTAAAATGGATTGAATTGTCATTTTTTGTCAACGATCTACACAGAATATTCTGTAATGTCAAAGTGAAAAATTAAAAAAAATAAAAGATTAATGAACAAATAAAACACTAATATACCTTGATTAGATAAGTATTGACCGCCCTAAGTCATTACACGTTAGAAACATTTTTGGCAGTGATTACAGCTGTGAGTCTTCTTTGGTAAGTCTAAGAGCCTTGCACACCTGGATTGTGCAATATTTCTCCATTATTCCTTTCAGAATTCTTCAAGCGCTGTCAGATTCTTGGGGATCATGGCTAGACATAGATTTTCAAGCAGATTTATGTCAAAACTGTAACTAGGCCACTCAGGAACACTCACTGTCTTCTTGGTAAGCAACTCCAGTGTAGATTTGGCCTTGTGTTGAAAGGTGAATTCTTCTGATAGTGTCTGGTTTAAAGCAGGTTTTCTTCTAGGATTTTGCCTGTGCTTAGCTCCAGTTTTTATCCAGAAAAACTCCCCAGTCTTTGCCGATGTCAAGCTTACCCATAGTCAATACAATGTTCTTGATCAATCCTCAGTTTTCTCCCATCACAGCCATTGAACTCTGTAGCTGTTTTAAAATCACCAATGGCCTCAGGTGACATCCCTGAGCAGTTTCCTTCCTGTGCTGCAGCTCAGTTCAGAAGGACGACTGCATCTTTGATGTGTCTGGGTGGTTTAATACATCATCCACAGCATAATTATTAACTTGACCATGCTTAAAGAGATATTCAATGTCTGATTTGTTATTGTTACCCATCTACCAATCACTGACCTTCTTTATGAGGCTTTCAAAAAGCTCCCTGGTCTTTGTAGTTGAATCTTAGTTTGAAATGCATTACTTGACTGAGGAACCTTCCAGATGTTGTATGTATGGGGGACAGAGAAAGGGGTAGTCATTCAAAAACCATGGCAACCCCTATTATTTCACACAGTGAGTAACTTATCTGATTTGTTTAGCCAAATTTTACTCCTGAACTAATTTAGGATTGCCTAAACAAAGGGGGTGAATACTTATGCAACGACTAATATATATATATATATTATATATATATTATACATATATATATATATATATTTCAGTTATTTAATTTGTATACATTTTTAAAAAATGTGTAGAATTTTATTTTCACTGACATTATCGAGCATTTTGTGTAGATCAATAAAAAATCACAATTAAATGCATTTAAATCCCACTTAGTAACGGAACAAAATCCAAAGGGGGTGAATACTTATTATACCCACTGTACATGAAAAGATGCATCCCAACAATGGGCTATTTGCTGCATTTATTCTATTCCAAATCAAAATCTTAACTTTTCAGCACACACACACCTTTAGTGCTGATGAGCAGTGCAGCCAATTTGAACATGTTCTCAGTGAAGGCCTCAGGGTTCTGGGCATCTAAAGCTTCTGTCGTCTGTCTGACCATCAGCCTGGACAGGTCTGACTGGCTACGCACCGCCTCACTGAAATGGATCATACCTGCCACCTGGAGGGAGAAAACACACACACACGCATCAGCAAACACACACACACACACCACACGCTGATGTGAACCACTTGGGACAACATTGTTCTGTTGAATAAGAAGGAGAACTATGATAAAGTGTATAAAGGAGAAGTGAGTGGAGTCCTATCTAGAACTGTCGCAGTGTCTCTCTGTACCTCCCCAGCATAGAGGGAGTCCTATCTAGAACTGTCGCAGTGTCTCTCTGTACCTCTCCAGCATAGCGGTTTCTCAGGTTGAGTGAAGCCATGAAGTTGGAGTAGTCCTTCTTCACACAGGCTGGCCTTTCTGTCAGCTGTGTGATCTAGAGCGGATGACGGAACTTGGTTAGTGTGTGAGTGATTGCGCGTGTGTGTGTGTGTGTGTGTCTGTCTCCTCACCCCTAGCGTAGTGCTCTGTCTGTTGTAGCCAGCGAAGTGCAGGATGCTCTCTGTAGCCATGGCCAGGCCAGTGTGCTGGGACAGACCTGACACCCAGTTCTGATGCTTGTTCAGGTACTCCTGGAAATCAGGGAGAAAACATCCAAAACAAGGGATAAGAGAAGATTAATCTGAAACCTTGAGTCCCTCAAAAGGCCATCTAGAAGCTATTTTGACAGGACACCTGCAATCCGTTGTCATATAGATGGGTTAACTGACAGCATCACGAAAACTATGTGCACGCTTCAATGGGGAAGAAGTCCGTGAGTTGTTGTGATTCTGGATGACCAGATATCCACCAACAATGACAAGAAACTGCCATGTGGGGAATCGTAAGTGACTTGTACCAGCCAGTTTGTTCTTGATACCATGTCTTATTTTGAGGTGTTTTGACTGATTTCATGTCAATGCTAATAATGGCTAATATTCGCTAGCTAACCAACAACTGTAACGATGTATTTGAGACAACAAGTGCTCATTGTGCAAATATATTTATGTTTTTAATAAACATGGAAGAAATATAGTTTACATGTTGTCAACAATCTAAGTCAACCCTGTCTGTTTTGCCACATAGTTGCGCACGCGACGGTTGTGTTGCTAAACAACCAACCCGTCTATGCTTTTCCTTTACGAAATGTGGTGTGTGTGTGTGTGTGTCTCACCTGCAGGTGTGACTTGGTGACAGAGGGGGCCCACTTCATGGCCTCTTTCAGGATCTCCCCACAGCGAGCAGCAAAGTCCTTCACTATGCTCTACAACCACAGAGAAACATCAACCAGCATTTAGAAAACACATACACACACACACACCGTATCACACACACACATTCCTACCTCTCTGGCCTCGTATGTGTCTGGTACAGTGATCCTGTAGGGGGTATCCGGGATGTCATAGTAAGGCTGGTCCTTATGGATGTCCTGCAAACAAGGTAGGTGCACGACACATCATAACACAATACATTGTCTACTAAGCCCTTATAGGGACCACAGAGAAAAACAAGTGTGTGAGAGTGCGTGTCCGTACTGCGCTGAGGGAAAGGGAGAGCGTCTGCAGGATGTCCAGCATGGTTTTCAGTACACGGCCACTCCACAACAGGTGGGGGAAGGTTTCGGCCAGACCTGACAGGTATTTGTCGGCCACCCTACGGATCCTCTTGTGGACGTGGTTGAAGTTGACCAATAGGAACTGAGCGTGGCGCTCCAACTCCTCTTCATGGGCTTTAGTTTTCGGCTGGGGAGAATAACAGAGGCAGCCAATCATTGTAGAGGACACGCTCCACAGAAGGTAGTTTGTTCTCGACTTCTCCTAGAGACCCAGTTTCTCTGTTTTGATTTAATCTTATGATGGTCCTGAAACAGTCATTGTCTGACTCCTTAACTAGTGTTAAATGTTGTTATCCGATGACCTTTACCTTCTCAGCCATCATCTGTAGGAAGACCTCAAACACCTTGTCCCCCACCGCTATCACACACAGCATCATACCTGGACAGACAAAAATACACATTATCTCACTGTCTAAAACATGTGGAATAAACGCTTAATACATGTGTAATAAGTCTAATGCGTGCGTAATAACTGTCTAATGCGTGCGTAATAACGGTCTAATGCGTGCATAATAACGGTCTAATGCGTGCGTAATAACGGTCTAATGCGTGCGTAATAACTGTCTAATGCGTGCGTAATAACTGTCTAATGCGTGCGTAATAACTGTCTAATGCGTGCGTAATAACTGTCTAATGCGTGCGTAATAACTGTCTAATGCGTGCGTAATAACTGTCTAATGCGTGCGTAATAACTGTCTAATGCGTGCGTAATAACTGTCTAATGCGTGCGTAATAACTGTCTAATGCGTGCGTAATAACTGTCTAATGCGTGCGTAATAACTGTCTAATGCGTGCGTAATAACTGTCTAATGCGTGCGTAATAACTGTCTAATGCGTGCGTAATAACTGTCTAATACGTTTGTAATGCAGCTTACCAGACTTGTCCTTCTGGATGGCTCTGTCCTCAAAGTAGCGAAACATCACCTGGAAGCGGTCAGAGTCCAGCGCACGCAGCATCCTGGTGAGAGAAGAGAGGATTGGAAAGGAGCCCGATATGAATGACTAAGAGATTTCTCCGACTAACCACAACCTGCTACACTCTAGACCAGGGCTCTCCAACGCCATTCCTGGAGAGTTACTGTCCTGTAGGTTTTCGCTCAAACCCTAAGCTAGCGCACCTAATAACTAGCTGCTTGATAAGCTGAATCAGGTTAGTTACAACTGGGTTTGGAGCAAAAACCTGCAGGACAATAGCTCTCCAGGAACATGGTTGGAGAGCCCTGCTCTAGACAGATCACAAAACGCAGGGGTGAATCTCAATAGTCCTAAGTGGTTTCCTTTTCCTTACCTCATGTACTCCAGCCTGTAGACAGACAGTAGGTAGGTAGACATGGCAAAGTCTAGTTTGTTGATGAGTGCAGACACCTCAGGAGGAGGATCTAGCAGGTTTATAATGGTGCTCCTCAGGTCATTCAGCTCCGCCTGAATACACACAACCAGGGAACATTAGCTGTGTGTGTGTGTGTGTGTGTATGTAGTAGCATGTGTGTGTATGTCTACATGCGTGTGTGTTGTGTGCGCATGCATGTGTACTGTACAGCTGTGACGGTGTCGTTCTTCAGGGCAGAGTTGTACTGTAGTTCAGAGCGTAGGGGTTCTCCACTGGGGAAGGTGAGGAGGGGAGACTTGGTGGCGACCTCACACACTCCCTCATACCACTCTTCTGGCCACAGACCTACACAACACACAAAACCCTTCATATACCTATGGACTTTTACATAGCAGGATGACTGATAACTCACTTTCCCTTTTATCTTTCCATCAGATGGGTATTAGCCCACCATTTCAAAAATGTTTCCATACTTTATATAGTATACCAATCCTGGTGGAATATTGTAGTAAATGTTAATATAATCTTAAACACCCACCTGATCCCTCAACAGCGAAGCCCATCACCACAGAGTAGAGCCAGAAGTCTCTGAACAGCTTCTGCAGACGAGGCTTTGCTTCCTTGATGGGCGGCAGACGCTTCGTCAGCTACACAGGGAGAGGGGATCTAGATCAATACTAAGCGTATAGTACTAAGTGTATAGATTATATACGGAGTACTGTAGACACTCGGGGCACAGAGGCACTACTGGACAAACTGTTGAAAGTGGAAATGTATAGAGGCAACCCACATACCACAGCAATAACAGGAACGAGTACTCCAAGGTTTCCAGCACTGCTTGACGCCTGCAAATACAAATAATAATAAACAATGTCAACAAGAAAAAAGCCTACCTCTAAAAGACCGCTACACACTTCATGCAAACGACAGAGCGTCGTATACGGCCCGTTTCCAAATTTGAGCTGCACAAAAGTACGTAGAACTACGTACAAAAACGATGCTGCGTTTGCGTAGTTTGAATTAAGTGTGTAGGGCCCATAACAAAAGCCTGTTGTCGCTGAACCCTACAGTCTATCGTAAGTAATGGCTACTGTAAATGGAGTGTACCTTCAGTGCAGGGCCCTTGTCCGAGGCCCTCTCGCTGGCCCTCTTGCCCTCCAGTCCCAGCTGGACAAACAGCTCCAGTAGGTTGACCAGCAGCTCATCTACCATCTGCTCTGCTGCCAGGTTAGCTGCTATGTTAGCTAACGCATTGATCACAGCCAGGGAACAGTGTCTGGAACACACAAGATGAACACAGTAGGTCGTGGAGCTGGCTATGGGTAGGGAGTAGGGGTTAAGGGTAAAGGTGTAGGGGCTAAGGATACCTGTATCCATGGTCCTTGTAGTCCTTGGTGGAGTAGACCATGGAGGAGGCCTTCACACTTATCTGCTGGAACAGGTTCCACACCTCCTGGTAGATATATTGCTGTGAGGAGAGAGAAACGGATGAGTTTACTGAGAGACGAGAGGGGGGTGAGTTTACTGACAGGAGAGAGAGAGAGAGAGAGACAGAGAGAGAGCGAGAGAGGAGAGAGTTTACTGAGGGATGTATTGCTGAGGGGAGAGTGGAAAAAAAATCATGTGTATACAGGATCAAGTGTGAGTGTGACTCACGTTCCCAGTGATGACCATGCATCCCAGCTGATCTATAATGAGTACGTCTAGCTGTGACGGCGGCTGGCAGAACTTCTGCTGTAGGATCTGCAGGATGGGCTCCATGACGCGGGGAGTGTCCCTCAGAGCCACCGCAATGTGACCCAGCGCTCTGATGGTGTGGTCTGGGATCAGATGGGCCTCCCTGGGGGGGAGAGAGAGACAGTGGGTTGGTCAGAGGGGCTGCCAGTCATTGCCATGGACCTGGGGATTGGTCAGAGCTGCTGTCAATCACTGCAGGAGAGTCTTTCTAGCTAGCGAGGTCACCTGAGGTTTCACTAGCTAACATTGACAGCAGCTCAGAGGTAATCCAGCCTGTTAATAAGTAAAGTACACTAATTGGTAATATTGGAGGGGTATGAAATAATACTTACTTGTCATTCTCCTGAGAGATGTAGAGACGGTTGGACAGGCTGGCCAGGAAAGCCTCCACTATAACACTGTCCATAGTCAGACCTGCCTTCAGACACCTGAGAGTAGCAGAGAGAGGGAGGAGAAAAGAGATAGCATACCTGGTTACCGCGATGAATGAAAGGAGAAAACACTGCTCATATTTCTCTCCTTTTCACACACAGTACTTTGTCTTTCCTCACCTGCAGATGTTGTCAATGGAGATGTCACGGAGCTGTTCGTACATGGAGGGCAGGCACTTCTTATTAGCGTGAGCACTGAACGTAGACTGGGAGTGCTCGTTGGTCACGTGGATCTTGATCTCTCCAGTCCCTGTGGTGTTCTGGCTGTGGTATTTGTACAGCTTGACCAGGACAGGAGAGGGGACCACCAGGAAGTCTCTGAGAGACGTGGTGACAGAGTGGGCCACCACCGGGAACCGCTCACACAGACGACCCAGACCCTTCATAGACACAGACAGGGAAAATGTGATTAGGTATGAGAATACTCGTTTTATGGCACTCTTATCAAAACAGTATTGTGAAGACAGATAAAGACAGGAACAGAAGACATATTACAGGCAATACCTGGAGACAGCAGATGAGCAGGGGAATGTGAGCGATGATGACTTTACTGGACGTCTTCGACTGCAGTTTCTCTGACAGCTTGGTACACAGGTTCTCAGCTCCTGATCAACGCAAAACACATGAACAACAGTTAGTTTGGTGTTAAATTCAAATTAATGACCCAATGTTTTTCAACACATGGCCAATTCATTCCAAATTAACGACCCAAAGTTTTTCAACACATGCGCACGGATGGATAGTACACACACACACTAGCGCGCACGTATGAACACACACACACTCGTACCCTGCTCCTCAGTGACAGCCCAGACCATGAGGTCGACACAGGCAGCGTTAGCTTGGCAGCGTAGCTTCAGAGGACTCAGCTCACTGTGGAGGTACTCTACGTCATGTAGGATCCTCTGCAGCTCTGACTGGCTGCTACTGAACTGCTCCAGCACAAAGTCATGAACCTCTTTCACATAGCCCGTCTGCAGGTCTGGGAATACCATCACACCAACATCAATAACATGTTAGTAGAACAGTAATAAACGCATGTAATAAACTGTCTGCTGAACTGCTTCAGAACAATCAGATCGTAGCAGAGGGTTTCTGTATATTCTGTAGGTTAAAGTGAGAGACCAGTGGATTTGTTACCTTTCAGGTTGTACAACGTGTCTCTCAGCATCTTGAAGATGGCCACATACAGAGGATCACTGAATGTCCTGTAGTACAGGTGCATACCTGGGTTCAACTAGAGGGAGAGAACACAACCAACATGATGTAACATTAACTTGACTACACAGGAAAGCGCTTTAATTAAAATATAGGGAAGATGAACCTCCAGAAGTTCCTGCAGGGTGTCATCCAGTGTTTTCAGAAAGGATTCAGAGACAAACTGCTCAACCTGCAAAAGACAAACAGAACACTCAGAAAGGAATTCTGAAAAACGATGTTCTACCCATTCTAATTCTATAGTTCTGTTAATTCTGATTCTACATACTGACCATGTTGAGGAGCTGGCGCAGAATGTCCAGAGGGACGTCAAACTCTCCCTGAGCACTACCCGTAAACAGAGGAGACACAGAGAAACTAGAACTGATGGTGGAAAAGTAATAGTCTGGGTCCACAGCACTACCATCAGGGAGATAGGAGCCTGGAGAGAGAAAGAAGGAGGAGGAGAGGGAGAGTGAGAAAGGTACCAGTCAAAAAAAGTGAGACACAGGCTACTTAGTATTTTTATTTATTTAACTAGGCAAGTCAGTTAAGAACAAATTCTTATTTATAATGACGGCCTACACCGGCCAAACCCGGACGACGCTGGGCCAATTGTGCGCCACCCTATGGGACTCCCAATCACGGCCTGTTGTGATACAGCCTGGAATCGAACCAAGGGGTCTGTTGTGACGCCTCAAGCACTGAGATGCAGTGCCTTAGACCGCTGCGCCACTCGGGAGCCCACTTCAGAAATATATTGCCTGTCTAATATATTCCTACCTTCATAGTACTGTGCTGAGGGGTCAGCTGGGGAGCTGGGGGTCAGTCCTGCTCTCTCTGGACTGGCCTACAGACAGAGGAACATCCCATTTTCAGACATTTCAAATACAAGCTTCCTTTGCCCTCTAGTGGCCGGCTATGGTAGTACAGTTGTTTTCTCTGTAGTGATATAGCAATAGTAACAGAGGAGTCCTTGTGTCTTATGGTGTCTTCCAGATACCCGATGAGAATGAATGTTAGTACTATGGTGTAGCAGTAGTAGTAGTAGTAGTGGTATAGTACAGTGCTTCCCAACTCCAGTCCTCCAGTACCCCCAACAGTACACCATTTTTGTTGTAGTCCTGGATAAGCACACCTGATTGTCCGGGGCTACAACAGAAATGTGTGCTGTTAGGGTTACCGGAGGACTGGAGTTGGGAACCACGGGTCTAGTCTAGTATAGTGATAGTACTTGTTGTGATATGCTGGACACTGAGCTTTCTTTGCGTCTGACAGTGTCTCCCTGACAGACTGTGAGCAGCGAGGCCGGCATGATGGAGCGGAAGTCGTTGAAGGAGCGCCGTCGTGACGGGTCGACATCCTCGACAGTGGACACTGGTGGTGCTCCTGCCCGCGGAAACAGCTTGGACAGCAGGGGCTCCTCCGTGTTGCTATAGCGACCAAAGGCCCGGGCCACGCCCAACAGGCAGGGCACAGTGTACCTGCACAGGTATTCTAGGGGAGGGAGGGAGGGAACAAAGAGAGAGAGACAGGTGAAAGGCTGCCCTTTTCATTGTCATTCTGTCTCCGCCTACTTGTATCACAAAGTTTGTGAGGAAAACAAGAGACAACAACTAGATAACTAACCAGGAACTACAATTTTCATGAAACACTGGTGAACATGAAATGGTGGAACAGAGAGCATGCTGGTACCTTTATCATGGCCCTCTGGGTTCAAGCAGATGTCCAGCAGGACCTTCATTATGTCCATGATGGCCTCCAGGATCTGTCCTCGCAGGGTGTCATCTCGCTGGGCCACGTCTGAGAGAAGAGTGCCCATACAGAAACAGAAGTTCTCTGCCACCGGAAGGATATCTGTAGGACAAGAAGAAAGATCATCACCCAGTCAGAGAGCCGGAATTAGACATCATATTGACTGGTGTAAGACAGACAAATGCTGGCATCTCCTTCCTTACCCCGCCCTTTGCTTCCAGAGCTTTCTTCGATCCATTGGACTCTGGGAAGTCCCTTCAGCAGGCCCAGCAGGTAGGGGACGATAGATTCTTTGTGCTACAATAAAAACATAATTCACAAACCACTCGCACAAAAGCCATTAAACAGCTAAGGGGAGCACACAAGGTGCCATGGATGGGAGCCAATTATTGGTCCTGAGGTCAGGGAACATCTGTCCCGTAAAAAGCATTATATAAATGCAACCCTTAACAGCGTCAGAGAGTAGGCCTCGCTGCTCCAGTTGAATGTACCTGTAGGTCAGACTCGACCAGGAAGATGCCCAGAGCTAGGACCGCATCCCTCCTCCTCTCATCCAGCTGGAACACCCCTCGGAAGTCCATTGGACACATGCATTGGAGCTTCTGGACCTGAAAACAGAGAATAAACAGCAAACAAGTGGCTTGTGGCTGACTAATCAAACCATCAGTCCTAACCTTCACAAATATATTTCCCTGTATTAGCAGTTAGGTTGACTTCTACCAGGGCAAACTGACATCCACGGTAGGCTAACTGCTGGCCTCTGCTCCAGCTTTACATATAAAGATAGTAAACTATCCCTGGATTCCATGGCCTTCAGGAAAAACAACACAGAGAATCCTATACCCCTTAGTAACCACGGCATTGACAGCTTGACTCCACTCCAGGCGAGGAGCCAAACACAACTGGCCCTTAGCATTAATTAGCTTAGCTAACGAGGATCAGCCTTTAAGCTCAGTGAGGAGGATTACAGCCAAATGTCAACTCACCACCACAGTAGAGAGAGAGACACAAACCCAGTGCTAAAATCCCACTCAGTCACACATAGAATATACCATTCTAACCTCTGTGTATATAAGTGTACAAAGTTTTCTACCCATAATTCTGGACCTTTAGGGCACAGGAGTTAGACTAGTGCACTTGCCATGGTTACAATAGCAAGGTAATTTAATAGGATCTCTATGGTTTTATCATACCACTCTGGATGTTTGTGTAAAACTGTGCAAACATACATACACACACATATACATACATATACACTACTATTGTTCAAAAGTTTGGGGTCACTTAGAAATGTCCTTGTTTTCCATGAAAACATACATGAAATGAGTTTGAATAGGAAATGTAGCTAAATTAATAGGAAATGTGGTCATAGAATCCTCCATTTGCAGCAATTACAGCCTTGCAGAACTTTGGCATTCTAGTTGTCAATTTGTTGAGGTAATCTGAAGAGATTTCACCCCATGCTTCATGAAGCACCTCCCACAAGTTCGATTGGCTTGATGGGCACTTCTTACGTACCATACGGTCAAGCTGCTCACACAACAGCTCAACAGGGTTGAGATCCGGTGACTGTGCTGGCCACTCCATTATAGACAGAACACCAGCTGACTGCTTCTTCCCTAAATAGTTATTGCATAGTTTGGAGCTGTGCTTTGGGTCATTGTCCTGTTGTAGGAGGAAATTGGCTCCAATCAAGCGCTGTCCACAGGGTATGGCATGGCGTTGCAAAATGGAGTGATAGCCTTCCTTCTTCAAGATCCCTTTTACCCTGTACAAATCTCCCACTTTACCACCACCAAAGCACCCCCAGACCATCACATTGCCTCTACCATGCTTGACAGATGGCATCAAGCACTCCTCCAGCATCTTTTCATTTGGTCTGCGTCTCACAAATGTTCTTCTTTGTGATCCGAACACCTCAAACTTCGATTTGTCTGTCCATAACACTTTTTTCCAATCTTCCTCTGTCCAGTGTCTGTGTTCTTCTGCCCATCTTAATCTTTTCTTTTCATTGGCCAGTCTGAGATATGGCTTTTTCTTTGCAACTCCGCCAATAAGGTTAGCATCCCGGAGTCACCTCTTCACTGTTGATGTTGAGACTGGTGTTTTACTATTTAATGAAGCTGCCAGTTGAGGACCTGTGAGGCGTCTGTTTCTCAAACTAGACACTCTAATGTATTTGTCCTCTTGTTCAGTTGTGCACCGGGGCCTCCCACTCCTCTTTCTATTCTGGTTAGAGCCAGTTTACGCTGTTCTGTGAAGGGAGTAGTACACAGTGTTGTACAAGATCTTCAGTTTCTTGGCAATTTCTCGCATGGAATAGCCTTCATTTCTCAGAACAAGAATAGACTGACGAGTTTGAGAAGAATGTTATTTGTTTCTGGACATTTTGAGCCTGTAATCGAACCCACAATTGCTGATGCTCCAGATACTCAACTAGTCTCAAGAAGGCCAGTTTTATTGCTTCTTTAAATCAGCACAACAGTTTTCAGCTGTGCTAAAATAATTGCAAATGTGTTTTCTAATGATCAATTAGCCTTTTAAAATGATAAACTTGGATTAGCAAACACAACGTGCCATTGGAACACAGGACTGATGGTTGCTGATAACAGGCCTCTGTAGATATTCCATAAAATAAATCAGCCGTTTCCAGCTACAACAGCCATTTACAACATTAACAATGTCTACATTGTATTTTTGATCAATTTGATGTTATTTTAAAATGGACCATTTTTTTTCTAATTGACCCCAAACTTTTGAATGGTAGTGTGTGTGTGTATATATATATATATACACACAGTGGGGAAAAAAAGTATTTAGTCAGCCACCAATTGTGCAAGTTCTCCCACTTAAAAAGATGAGAGAGGCCTGTAATTTTCATCATAGGTACACGTCAACTATGACAGACAAATTGAATTTTGAATTTGGATTTTTAATGAATTTATTTGCGAATTATGGTGGAAAATAAGTATTTGGTCACCTACAAACAAGCAAGATTTCTGGCTCTCACAGACCTGTAACTTCTTCTTTAAGAGGCTCCTCTGTCCTCCACTCGTGACCTGTATTAATGGCTCCTGTTTGAACTTGTTATCAGTATAAAAGACACCTGTCCACAACCTCAAACAGTCACACTCCAAACTCCTCTATGGCCAAGACCAAAGAGCGGTCAAAGGACACCAGAAAAAAATTGTAGACCTGCACCAGGCTGGGAAGACTAAATCTGCAATAGGTAAGCAGCTTGGTTTGAAGAAATCAACTGTGGGAGCAATTATTAGGAAATGGAAGACATACAAGACCACTGATAATCTCCCTCGATCTGGGGCTACACGCAAGATCTCACCCCGTGGGGTCAAAATGATCACAAGAACGGTGAGAAAAAATCCCAGAACCACACGGGGGGACCTAGTGAATGACCTGCAGAGAGCTGGGACCAAAGTAACAAAGCCTACCATCAGTAACACACTACGCCACCAGGGACTCAAATCCTGCAGTGCCAGACGTGTCCCCCTGCTTAAGCCAGTACATGTCAAGGCCCGTCTGAAATTTGCTAGAGTGCATTTGGATGATCCAGAAGAGGATTGGGAGAATGTCATATGGTCAGATGAAACCAAAATAGAACTTTTTGGTAAAAACTCAACTCGTCGTGTTTGGAGGACAAAGAATGCTGAGTTGCATCCAAAGAACACCATACCTACTGTGAAGCATGGGGGTGGAAACATCATGCTTTGGGGCTGTTTTTCTGCAAAGGGACCAGGACGACTGATCCGTGTAAAGGAAAGAATGAATGGGGCCATGTATCGTGAGATTTTGAGTGAAAACCTCCTTCCATCAGCAAGGGCATTGAAGATGAAACGCGGCTGGGTCTTTCAGCATGACAATGATCCCAAACACACCGCCCGGGCAACGAAGGAGTGGCTTTGTAAGAAGCATTTCAAGGTCCTGGAGTGGCCTAGCCAGTCTCCAGATCTCAACCCCATAGAAAATCTTTGGAGGGAGTTGAAAGTCTGTGTTGCCCAGCGACAGCCCCAAAACATCACTGCTCTAGAGGAGATCTGCATGGAGGAATGGGCCAAAATACCAGCAACAGTGTGTGAAAACCTTGTGAAGACTTACAGAAAACGTTTGACCTGTGTCATTGCCAACAAAGGGTATATAACAAAGTATTGAGAAACTTTTGTTATTGACCAAATACTTATTTTCCACCATAATTTGCTAATAAATTCATAAAAAATCCTACAATGTGATTTTCTTTCCTCATTTTGTCTGTCATAGTTGACGTGTACATATGATGAAAATTACAGGCCTCTCTCATCTTTTTAAGTGGGAGAACTTGCACAACTGGTGGCTGACTAAATACTTTTCCCCCCCCCCACTGTGTATATATATATATATATATATATATAGTACCAGTCAAAAGTTTGGACACACCTACTCATTCAATGGTTTTTCTTCATTTGTACAATTTTTTACATTGTAGAATAATAGTGAAGACATCAAAACTATGAAATAACACATATAGAATCATGTAGTAACCAAAAAAGTGTTAAACAAATCAATATATTTTAGATTCTTCAAAGTATCCACCATTTGCCTTGATGAAAATTGAGATGGTTTGGGATGAGTCGGACCGCAGAGTGAAGGAAAAGCAGCCAACAAGTGCTCAGCATATGTGGGAACTCCTTCAAGACTGTTGGAAAAGCGTTCCTGGTGAAGCTGGTTGAGAGAATGCCAAGAGTGTGCAAAGCTGTCATCAAGGCAAAGGGTGGCTATTTGAAGAAACTCAAATATAAAATATATTTTGATTTGTTTTTGGTTACTACATTATTCTATATGTGTTATTTCATAGTTTTGATGTCTTCACTATTATTCTACAATGTAGAAAATATATACTGTATACATACATATATATGTATGCGTGTGTTTGCACACAATTTAAAACAGAGAGACCGTTCAGAGCAACATCATTGATGACTTCCAGTTTTTGCCTAAAGTTTGGCTGACAGTTCCTCCCATACAGCTTTCCTGCCAACGCCTGAATCAACATGATGTAATGTGATAAGGCAAATTAGCAAACTATGTCTGTTGAAATCATAGACCATATGGTTGAAATAAAGAATACAGAACAGTCAAGTAAATTGTGACCAATCAATGACCATTGTTGATGTAACAGTTGTTAAAGTACTTTGTGAATTTCACCATGTTCATATATTAATATAGCATGTTGATTTGTTATTATGCATGCCTGCATCCTGGGAATAAGATAGTGTGTACTTACGTTTTGCCCTAAGTGCTCGTGCTCAAATAATGTTTATGCACTATGAGAGGTAGGCACGCTTTTTCTGTCGTCTTTAGAAAAGTTAGATTCCTTCTAGCACAAAGTCGTACACACAGTGTTTTGTTCATGAATAATGTTGTATATTTAGAGTTTACTCATGAGTGGATGGTATTGTTAAGATACAATTGTAATTGTACTTTTCAGGATGATATTAACATTCTGAATTCAACATGTGGTTACTAGCTAGCTAAGGTATTGTATGTGTGAACGATGGCTAGCTCCTCGACTGATTCCAGTCCTTTGTATTGTGCGTCTATGTTGTAGAAAGAGGCGACAATGGGCAGAACATATGTGCTCTACAAATGTTTTGTATTTTCTTTTGGATGCAGGTATGTGGTTTTATCTATGTAAAATGTATGGTATGTGTTGATAAATTATAAGGAGAGGTTGTACTCATTTTTGTATTCTATAAATAATTGACGCACAATGAGAGAAAGAGGCGACAATGGGCAGAACATATTTGTACTCTACAAATGTTTTGTATTTTCTTTTGGATGCAGAGATAATTCTGATTCATTAAAACAGCCTGATCTCCGAAGTCCACATCTATAGTCCCAATCAATCACACACAACGCATAGATACAGCCGTGCAGCACAGTGCCGGTTACATTGACAAATAAATGGGGGCGTTACCTTTGAGGTTTGAGAGCTCGCTAACTAATGGCTCATGGGTATGCCAACTTTCTCATTCTGATGGAATGACAATCCGCCATATATAATCGACAGGACTGACAGCTAAACGCGTAGTTAGCAAGTGATGTTGCAGTTATTAAACTAGGTTGTCAGTATGTAAAACTGCGTAGTTGCGGTGTCGTGTTCCGGTGTGAAATTACAAGCCAATTAACTAAGGGCCTCTACTTGGGAATGAATGGCTGTTTGTCCAACAACAGCTGTGTGAAGGTCTTGGAAAACGAGTCACTAGCTAGCAGCAAGACAAGTGTCGATAGCATCGCATATCACTTTAATCTAGCCATAGCGATACGTTTTATTTTATTTTTATAACTCATTTTTATTGTTCTGTGGCGATAATGTATAAATGTAATGTTAACCGAATCTAATAGACAACTTAACTAGCTAGCGTACGCTCACTTTACGGCAATGCTAATAACATCGCTCAGACTCACCTTATCTATCGGCGCTGGGCGGTGTGCGGCCAAAGAGCGCGCCAGGGACAAGACAGTGTTGAAATAAAAACCCCTCGTTCCTGCTCCTTTCGCAGACATGTTTATTTATCAAGACAAACAGGTAGTACATTTTACAGCGCTAACCGCTGCGAAGAGGACAAGTAGTCACTAGTTACCACAGCCACAAAGTCCTACTTATGGCTAAACCCCGCCTATTTCCATTAGGGTAGCTGCGACGTCATCCCTCAGGTTCTCTGCTGCCACCAGCTGATATGTGATCTCTCAGTGCAGGGCATCTCAGGAAAAGTGGGGGCTTTTGAAAGGAACCATATAAGGAGAAGTGGGGATTTCGAAAGGAGTCTTTTAACACTAGAAGCGCTGGAATTCCATAAATGGTGGAACTGCCATGACTTGATATTTAAATTATATATAATTTCAAAAATGTAAGTGATAATGCCAGAGAAGCCAGTGTTTGGAGGATATATTGGCACGGGTGTTGTTAGGCCCGAGACGAAGGCCCGAGACAACGGTTACCAACATATTCAAATAATGATTTACATATTTTCATTAAAAACATTATTTTGATGAATTTATTCATACTATTTCATCCTTCCACAAGACATAGTCCCGACACAAATTTAGGGTTGCTACCCAAGCCGGCTGGTCGTTCGTTCTATCGGTTCGGTTGCCAGAGACATGACCCAGTCTTTTTGTTCTGTATCTATACAGTCGTTCATTTAAATGTTCTATTGCCATACTGGCTGGCAACGTTCTTATACCTTGCTCGCTTGCTAGCCAACTACGGCTAACTTACAGTCACGTCAAACAGTGCAGCCAGAAAAACAACAAAGTAGCTGCATTTGCATTTGTTTAAGCTGTTTTCTAGTGACATTTATTTGGATACATCCATAAAAATTAGTTAATGATGCGCAATTTCACCTGGCATAGAAAATGTGCTCTCTCATCAGGACACTGTTGTTCAGAGGATCTAGCCAACAACATAGCTAACATGATCACTTCAAACTGAAGCTGGAAAGACTGCAAACTAGCTGCACTTCATTTCGTTTGACCTGTTTTCTATTGATATTTCTTCATATATCCATAAATATTATGCTGATTCATGATTTTGACTGGCTGAGAAAAGCTGCCTGCCTGTCTGTCTCATCCCGACTCCCGACAGGTTCATTACTATGTGACAGCTGGAGATCAAATTTGAATACTGAAACAATGTTGCAAATGTTGGAGAGACAGACAGCAAGGTTTATACAAATCTCCGCTGTTGAAAACTAAATGTTAGTCTAAAAGAAATGTGAGAAAATGTCTAGATGCTTTTTATAGTGGAGATCAAGTTTATACATTGCCTGGCTGGGCTGATGAGATGGAACAGAGTAAATAAGCATTTTGTCATAGATTTAGCCGGTGGTAACTTGAGGAATAGACACCAGCTGGAATGTGGTTTTAACCAATCAGTGTCCAGGATTAGACCCACCCGTTGTATAATCAATAATACATAATACATTCTAAATTGAATGCATTTTTATGTTAAAATAAGTCAAAACAAACTTCAGGACACCAAATGTAAATTGTAATAATTCAGAAAATGTATTGATTGATCCGGAATTGTGCTCCGAGAATAATGCGGCACAACCCATTCCTCACTGAGTATGGCTGTATGGGCTGCAATGCAGGCAGGCCATTTAGGGGGTGAAAGCCTTTCTATTTTATTTGGTTATATTATTCTAACTGTAAAATATGTAGGCTTATGTGTTTACTGTGGTAGGGCAGGGGAATATATGTGTTTGATGTCTGCTAAATGAACATGTTGATTACATTGGCATGGTGCAGTATATAGCCTGGCTAAGCAGCACATATGCTATCATATTCTTTTGAAATAAATTGTCTTAATATCATATTGTTTTTATGACCTTCTTAAACAAAATATGAATGTATTTCTTTGGGACTACATACAAAACAAGATTAAATTAGCCTACCTCATGACTAGGCTATCAATTGTCAAATTGAAAGATTGTCAATGTAAGCTGAGCTTCAAGTCATCATAAAAAGGGCCATGAAGGCCAGACGTTTTGATTACTATATCCTATCGAAAATGGTGGATTAAAATGCTTCTAATTAACCTATTCTTGCCAAATAACTCTCCAAATTGCGAAGATGGGCCCCTTTTCAAAATAAGTTTTCAATAGAATAATCAAATTTTCATAGAATAACCATGGCTCAACTTGTTCCTCAGGTGAGTACATGCAGCAATGGCCATTTGGAAAAAATATCCTTTCTATTTTATCTGGTTACAGTGAGGGAAAAAAGTATTTGATCCCCTGCTGATTTTGTACGTTTGTCCACTGACAAAGACATGATCAGTCTATAATTCTAATGGTAGGTTTATTTGAACAGTGAGAGACAGAATAACAACAAAAAAATCCAGAAAAACGCATGTCAAAAATGTTGTAAATTGATTTTCATTTTAATGAGGGATATAAGTATTTGACCCCTCTACAAAACATGACTTAGTACTTGGTGGCAAAACCCTTGTTGGCAATCACAGAGGTCAGACTTTTCTTGTAGTTGGCCACCAGGTTTGCACACGTCAGGTGGGATTTTGTTCCACTCCTTTTTGCAGATCTTCTCCAAGTCATTAAGGTTTCGAGGCTGACGTTTGGCAACTCGAACCTTCAGCTCCCTCCACAGATTTTCTATGGGATTAAGGTCTGGAGACTGGCTAGGCCACTCCAGGACCTTAATGTGCTTCTTCTTGAGCCACTCCTTTGTTGCCATGGCCGTGTGTTTTGGGTCATTGTCATGCTGGAATACCCATCCACGACCCATTTTCAATGCCCTGGCTGAGGGAAGGAGGTTCTCACCCAAGATTTGATGGTACATGGCCCCGTCCATCGTCCCTTTGATGCGTGAAGTTGTCCTGTCCCCTTAGCAGAAAAACACCCCCAAAGCATAATGTTTCCACCTCCATGTTTGACGGTGGGGATGGTGTTCTTGGGGTCATAGGCAGCATTCCTCCTCCTCCAAACACGGCGAGTTGAGTTGATGCCAAAGAGCTCGATTTTGGTCTCATCTGACCACAACACTTTCACCCAGTTCTCCTCTGAATCATTCAGATGTTCATTGGCAAACTTCAGACGGGCCTGTATATGTGCTTTCTTGAGCAGGGGGACCTTGCGGGCGCTGCAGGATTTCAGTCCTTCACGGCGTAGTGTGTTACCAATTGTTTTCTTGGTGACTATGGTCCCAGCTGCCTTGAGATCATTGACGAGATCCTCCCGTGTAGTTCTGGGCTGATTCCTCACCGTTCTCATGATCATTGCAACTCCACGAGGTGAGATCTTGCATGGAGCCCCAGGCCGAGGGAGATTGACAGTTATTTTGTGTTTCTTCCATTTGCGAATAATCGCACCAACTGTGCAATCTTGTCCCTGACATCCTTGGAGAGCTCTTTGGTCTTGGCCATGGTGGAGAGTTTGGAATCTGATTGATTGATTGCTTCTGTGGACAGGTGTCTTTTATTTATTTATTTTTATTTATTTCACCGTTATTTAACCAGGTAAGCCAGTTGAGAACAAGTTCTCATTTACAACTGCGACCTGGCCAAGATAAAGCAAAGCAGTGCGATTAAAAACAACAACACAGAGTTACATATGGGGTAAAACAAAACATAAAGTCAAAAATACAACAGAAAATATATATACAGTGTTTGCAAATGTAGCAAGTTATGGAGGTAAGGCAATAAATAGGCTATAGTGCAAAATAATTACAATTAGTATTAACATTGGAATGATAGATGTGCAAGAGATGATGTGCAAATAGAGATACTTGGGTGCAAATGAGCAAAATAAATAACAATATGGGGATGAGGTAGTTGGGTGGGCTAATTTCAGATGGGCTGTGTACAGGTGCAGTGATCGGTAAGGTGCTCTAACAACTGATGCTTAAAGTTAGTGAGGGAGATAAGAGTCTCCAGCTTCAGAGATTTTTGCAATTCGTTCCAGTCATTGGCAGCATAGAACTGGAAGGAATGGCGGCCAAAGGAGGTGTTGGCTTTGGGGATGACCAGTGAGATATACCTGCTGGAGCGCATACTACGGGTGGGTGTTGCTATGGTGACCAATGAGCTAAGATAAGGCGGGGATTTGCCTAGCAGTGATTTATAGATGGCCTGGAGCCAGTGGGTTTGGCGACGAATATGTAGTGAGGACCAGCCAACAAGAGCGTACAGGTCACAGTGGTGGGTAGTATATGGGGCTTTGGTGACAAAATGGATGGCACTGTGATAGACTACATCCAATTTGCTGAGTAGAGTGTTGGAGGCTATTTTGTAAATGACATCGCCGAAGTCAAGGATCGGTAGGATAGTCAGTTTTTCGAGGGCATGTTTGGCAGCATGAGTGAAGGAGGCTTTGTTGCGAAATAGGAAGCCGATTCTAGATTTAACTTTGGATTGGAGATTCTTAATGTGAGTCTGGAGAGTTTACAGTCTTGTATGGCATTGAAGCTCGTTTGGAGGTTTGTTAACACAGTGTCCAATGAAGGGCCAGATGTATACAAAATGGTGTCGTCTGCGTAGAGGTGGATCTGAGAGTCACCAGCAGCAAGAGCGACATCATTGATATACACGGAGAAAAGAGTCGGCCCAAGAATTGAACCCTGTGGCACCCCCATAGAGACTCCCTTTAAGAGTGTGCTCCTAATCTCAGCTCGTTACCTGTATAAAAGACACCTGGGAGCCAGAAAACTTTCTGATTGAGAGGGGGTCAAATACTTATTTCCCTCATTAAAATGCAAATCAATTTATAACATTTTTGACATGTGTTTTTCTGGATTTTGTTGTTGTTATTCTGTCTCTCACTGTTCAAATAAACCTACCATTAAAATTATAGACTGATCATTTCTTTGTCAGTGGGCAAACGTACAAAATCAGCAGGGGATCAAATACTTTTTTCCTTCACTGTATATTCCATTAGGGCAGGGGAGTAGCCTATAAGCTGTGTGTTTGATGTCTGCTAAATGAGTTGATTTCATTTTAGTGGTGCAAGCCTACACTCTAAAAAGTAAAGGTTCCTGGAGGATCCTTT